GCTGCGCGATGTTTAGTTTTACAACCCGACTTAATTAATCTTTACGAAACGAAAACACATTTTGGCATTTCATTAGCTAACCCTCCTACTGTATTATCGCTCCACCATCACGCAAGTACTCGTAAGCAACAATCTTTCCCAGCCGTTTGCTAATCGGTCTGGCGTTCGACCGGGTTGTATCCTGTCGCTCATTCTGTTCAAATAAGCTATTGTCTTGATTCTCGGGAAGGCCCTACACGAGGGAGACGGTGTTGAATTTGCACCCGGACACCAACCGACTGATCTCGAATATGCTTATGATATTGCCTTACTTGCTTCACGTTTTGGTCATCTGTTGTGTATGGTGTCACGGGTGAACGAGATCGTTAAATCGGTTGGTTTATGCATAAGCGCTGGGAAGACTAGAGTGTTTCCAAGCTGCAGTCCTGAGAAGAAGAAGAAGGTAGCCTTCGGGATTGGTGACTGTCAACTTTAAGAAGTAGACAGTTTTGGGTACCTCGGAAGGAGGCTGATGCCGAATAGGCAGAGTAAGGATGATATTTCCTCCGGAATAGATGCTGCCCCACGGGTCTTCTCAAGCATTAGAAAATGCCTAGGGATCAGACGCGAAATCATCGCCACTAAGATTCGCGTGTACTGCGCATCTGTCCCTCCTTCTACATGGTTGTGAATGTTGAGCTGTGCGCGAGGACGACGAGCGAAAACTGGAGATATTTGACCACCGCCGCTTGAGGACATTCCTTCGAGTGAGGTACGCCGACATCGCCTCAGATGAGACAGTCCGTACTCACGGTGATAACAGAGCGAACATATCCCAGGCCATCCAAGAAAGGCGACTGAGGGAGTTTCAGCATGTTCTTCGTTGTCCACCACAGGAGCTCAATGTTGCTGCGCTCGATCCGGCACCGTTGCCCCATTGGAGGCGTCTAGGAAGGCGTTAACTTGGAACATGACTCGAAAGAATTCGTCAAGACATGGAGGTGCTTCTTGGGCCTTCGGCATTTAGTATGCGTCGTTCGCGAAGAGAATGGATTGAACTCTCCGTATCTGCTGCCGCGGATGGTGACGCGTGGAGAGGTACAGTTCGGGACCTGATCGAGGCCAGCTAGATCAGGCATGATCGCAGCCGTATCGAGTGCATGTACAAGTACCACACCCATCATCCCCGACAGGATATCATCGGATACACTTCTATCATATTTCCCTCCTCCGAATGCGGCTATTCCTGTGGATTCGCGCTTGACTACGTGGCCTAACAATTGGAGACCGTGATCTTCAATCCCATCACCCGAAGTAGCCATATCCGATCAACAGCGCACTTCCAAATCGGAGACTTATCGCCAAATCGACACACTGTAATGATGATAGTAATAATAACCGACTGTAGTGGATGCAAACCACTGGAGCCATCCTTGCCAGAATCGAACCACATATTTATTTGAAATGCTACTGCAGTCAGTCAGTCGTCGTGACAGTACTAACCATAGACTCGCACACACACTGTCACGCAAGTCTCACTTGCCAAAATTCCCCCCCCCTGATGTAGATACATCTGTTGATATAAATTTCCTATCTGCAGACTATGACCAGACACAGCACCAACATAAGACATTGTCCGACTAATCAAGCTGAGAGATAGAGAGAGTGTAGGATAAAAGATCAAGGTTTATTACGTAATAAGGAATGGACATGAGAAGAAGGACAATTACAAATTTCGGCACCAAGGATAATCATTCCAATAAGAAGGAAGTGAATTACGACTGTGTGGAGTGGACGGAACAAATGCAATATAACCCTGCGAGTTAGCGCGAGCGACAAGGAGGGAAAGTGAAGCTCAGCGAAACAGCGTCTATTGTGTGGAATGGAATAAACAAGAGAACAATGAATAATACTCTCCAAAAGTTCAAAAATGGGGACGAGGGAGAATCATGCTTGTAATACTACAA